CAATTATGATACCGAGGTATTATGTTGTGTTTTCATTTATTTGTATGTTGAAAGAAGGCCTTTGTAAATTACATTGCTCTCTATGGATCTACTTTAATACAAAAATAGTTTTGTGGCTATAAGTTGCTATAACCTATCGTAGCAAAACTATTAATAATTTAAACATAGTAAGTAGTAAAACGAGGGGGTAAAATAACAATAAAATAAGGGAAATACTTAAAAAGGACAGGTTTAAAGAGTATTATCACAAGAAAGTATATCCGTTCTGTTTATTTATCAAGTATTGTTTGAGGTTACTTTTGAATACATTTATTATTTTTTTCTGTAGGCAGTCTATTAAATTTTTTAACCCTTTCATAAAAATTGTATTTTGGGAACTTTTAGTGATGACTTGCCGTACATGAAAGTCAGATTGGCTTCTTGTATTATAGTTGTGATATTGTGAATTATATTGAATTTTTTCTAATAGATCTGATGCGATGGATTTATGTAATTTTTATTTTATAAATAAATATCAGTCATGTACTGAACATAATTCTGAACTGAAAGCCAATTTATTTCTTTTAACATAGTTGCAATACTAATCCTTCTGTCCTTTATTAATAGAATATAAATAGGCAGAGTAAGGGGTCTATTCTGTAACAATTCCTTTATATTTAACGGCCTTTAAAAATATTTTCTTCTTTACATCTGTCATTATTTAAACGAATCTTTAAAATAGATTAGAGGACTATCTTAAAGAAATCTGTTTAAATAATGACAGAAGTAAATTAACGAATACAAACATATTTTTAAAGGTCGCCAATATTTTTAAAGGCCGTTAAATATAAAGGAATTGTTACAGAATAGACCCCTATGGAGCCCAAATATTTTACATGAGCAAGCCTAAGAGGTAAAGGGGACAATTATTATTGGATAAATTGCTCGAACAAGTTTTTATACCCCAATCAAAAGGCGATATAGAATGGTTTTAAAAATCAAGGTTGGTAAAAATCATCACACGGTTTAACCTAAGTAATGCCAATGCTTCAAAAAACAAAAAATTCAACGTCCTAATACTACTATCAGCTTTCAGTCTTTCGTTCCAAGTTAAATCATTTCTCGTTGTTGGGGTCAAATCAGATCCTAATTAGCGGAATGCAAAAACAAAATATTCTTAAAAAAAAAATCTCACCTCGCGTGGTATTTGTAACTTTTATAAACAACATTTGCTTTGTTTTCGTAAGATGAAGTCTTAAGTGATGTTGATTCTTTATTTAGAATAATATTATATATAATATTATAACAATGTATATTTGAAATTAAATTTGAAAAACCAAAACGATTTTTGTCCATTTTCACATCTTGTTGACAAACTTCACATTCATGTTTCGCGGGATTGAATGAAAACTCTGCACCATTTACTGTTTTCAGAAACAGTTTGTTTGATTAGCATGTGTTGGAATAAAAGAGGATTGTTACTGGTTAAATAATCACCCAAATTCAGAATTAGGTTTATATTTCGAGATTTATTTACTTCACTTCACACTGTTGGTGTTGGTATGTTATGTATGCTGTCAGGGCTGAGATGTCCAACGAATTGTTCCTCTGTATGCGGTAGGTATATTGAGACACCATTTGATATATTTTATGCATTGGTCTTATTGTATAACAAAATCCTTTCTGGCATTTGCTTTATGTTGGATACAGCTGAGTCTCGATGCTTGAACGATAGTAGCACTACAGCTTTTCCCCTTGTCATATTATTTTTACGTGTTCTCTGTTAATGTATCGTCAGGAATTATCAGCCGATAGTTTATCGAAAAATAAAGATAGAATAATGGTCAAATTTTATTAGTCTTTTATTAATGTTATAAATGCTTCAAATGATTTTAATAAAATTTTCTGTTTGTTAACAACTTTATGTGGTGTTTTTAGAACATTTTTACATGTTACAGTTGATCCAGTAATTCCAGAGGTGTGCTCATAAAGCACTTCGTTTAGTTTTTGGCATAACAAAATGCATTTTTTAAATTTTCATATTTTTTTTAATGAGCTAACTACAAATTAAACTTTTTTGCCTTTTAATTTTTTTTTATCTTAATTTGTTTTCAAGGAAAACATTAAAACTAAAAATTTTGCATATCTCTGAATAAGTCACAATAGATCTATCTGGGTTGCAGGGGAAGGCGATGAGATCAGACCACTCATTTTCAACCATATCTCCAAATACGTACATCAAAAAGAAAGCAAAATTGGATCATATTTTATTGGACAAAGTATTTTTCGATATCAGCTGATGAAACGATATATAAACTGGGTCACCCTGTATACTAGGTGTAGATATTTAAAATAAAAATACCTATATTTTATAAAAAAAATCTTATATTTTGTGCTTATATTTGAAAAAATAGCGATATTGTAGATATAAGAAATATAATCTAATATATAGATAGGCAAAGACAAAATAGTTCAGTACCATTTTCTCTTCTGTTTCTAAACATTATCTTTTTTTAAATTTTGTTTAGTAGCTAGTGACGATCTTTAGTATTATCAATGAAAACAAAAATCGATATATAAAATCCATTGATTCACAATTAAGAATTATGATTGATTAATAACCTATAGCGAACATGAGCACCCTTTAATTTCGAACCAACATAGACAATATTACATGGACAGATAGAGGATCGTGAAAACCAAAAAACAATATATTAGTTCTCCCTCCATTTCTTCCTCTGCCACTCCTAAATGGCAAGGGATAGAAAAAACTAATAGCGTTTGAAACGATTTCAAACTACTTAACTCCCACTCCCCCGTCCCTGGGGGAAGTTGATATATAGGACCGCTTGACCGATTATATTGGAAAATGAACTTCGGATATGATGGATTGGACTTATTCACCCCCTTTCAACCCCTACCCCCCATCCTACCATAATGAAAAAACATTCAACCAATTTTTTTAGTAGGGCATCCTTTTTGGGGGCCTAAAGAGCAACCTCAAAAAAAAATTATTGTGGGAGAGATGTATGAAACCAAAGGCCGAGTCTAGTCATACCCATTTTAGATCTCAGTCCCCCCCTCCCCCCAATCGCTAAGCGTAGACTAAAAATGAAATTGAATAAATATTATGCGTGTAATTCATGGGACCGAAGGGGGAGGTTTTTGTACCACATAGGTACTCCCCTTCAACCCTTTTTAAAAAGCAGACAAAAAATAATTTTATTCAGGTTATTCATGGGATCAATCGTTTTGGTACCAAAAATAATTCACCTTCCTTCTCCCGGGGCTCGTGGCAAAACCTTTCCTATTTATATACTCTCTTCTGGCCCATCGCGTTGGTGGTGTCGGCTCCGTCTAATATTTAAAGCAAATTTAAAGTTAACGGAAAGAAGAAGAAATGAAGGATAAAACCAAAGAGAAATTGTAATCTATCTAATGAAAGTCAAAAAAAAATATTAATAATGTTAAGGTGTCAGATTTCCAAAAAATATATACTTATATAATAATCACGTTCAGTACAATGTAAAATATAATTATTTAAAACTAAGAATGGCTAATATAATAATATGTAGACAAAAAGAAGAAGAAGAAGAAGAAGAAGAAGAAGAAGAAGAAGAAGAAGAAGAAGAAGAAGAAATGTCAAGAAGAATAAAGTGTCCTTTATAATAAATAATAATAAATGAGGGTTTTTAAATTGTGAGTCACTGTTATTGTATTGAATTTATTTTTTAATTAATTATAATGGCACTGAACTATATTGTATTGTAGGTACATATTAGTAGTTTATGTTATAAGGACGAAAAGTTGATTTTTTTGGGGAGACTACGAGAAGTTTGCCAGGCGAGACCCAGTCGAGTTTTTAATACACTTTTCGTCCGTGTTTCATACATTATTTACATGTATATGCATGTTTTTCCTCAAATTTTTAATAACGATTTTGGTCGAAATTCGACCACTGGGCAAACACTAGTCTAAATAAATTTAAAAGTCAAATCATACAAAGTTTTTTTTCAATGTGCAAATAGTTCGTGAATAGATTATAAAATATTATACGGCTGTCAACGATCATCCTGTATACAAAATCATTCAATGAAACCATTTAGTATGCGTCACGAACTAAAGAGAATACCATCGCCACAAAGTGCGTTGACTTTTTTTATATAAACGCTCTAAGACTAAATTAAATGTAAAAGATAAAAAGGATCGAATATAGAAAGTAAAGGTTTTCTCATAAATATTAATGAATATTATATCATGATATCAAGTTTCTTAAAGTAAAAGTGTAATGACAGTTATTTTCACGTATTGTTGTTAAAAACGGGTTTTTAAAAGTGAAGGCGTGTTCAATGTAAAAAACTAGTTCGGTAAAGTTCCATTTTAGGGTCTCTATCTAAAACTGTACTTTATGGAATCCCTAGCTATAATACAAGTAAATATCACTGTTAGCCCTTAATGCCAATAGAAGCAGCATAATTTACAAATAATATTCCCCCCTTAACGCAGTCTAGTTAAAACAGTAAATCACTGTGGTTGTGAGTTCTGCAGCTGTTGTCTAGAACAACGTGATATTCGGCCTATATGCATCTTGGGACTCATAAATTGTCGAATATTAAAATTTCATAATTCCTAATATTAAGGATGCAAGTCAGGATGAAAAACCGAGATAACTTAAAGTAAAAATAACTGGGCCGAGAATGTCCAGGCTCAGGATGGCCGTGTTAGTCCTTAAGGTACATGCCAATGGAAGTGACATAATTTACAAATAATATTCCCGGGTAACGCAGTCTAGTCAAAACAGTCAATACTGTAGTTGTGGTTTGTGCGGCTGTTGCTTAGAACAACGTGTTATTCGGCTTATATCTTAAAACTCCTAAATTTCCGAATCATTTATAGTATGGGAACTGACATAGTTTACAAATAAATATTATACATAACAGGAAGATGTCAAATAATATTAATTTTAGGACTAATAAATTATCTATAGGTACATAACTAAAATTCATTTTTATTTGTTTCAGGAAAATGATGTGTCTCGACGATTCAAGAAGTCAAAATTTATTCGACTCTGATAGAGATAGCATCAGTAGCGGAGAAGAAATACCTATATGGGTACGAGGGGAACAAAGATGGGTGTCCGGAGTATCTGATGAAACTACTTGCCAAGATGTTATCCAAATTCTTTTACAAGATGAAGAAAGACGGGTAAATTATTTTATAAAATATTTATTATCCTTAATTAATTGGTACTATTTTCCACAATGTCATAATCATAAAATCTACGTGAACTTGAAAAAAATATTTATACAATACATATTATTACCTAACCTATCCATCGTTAATGTTTGTTATTAAAAAAACAAATATTCCATTACAATTAAACAACTACTAGTGCAATTAATAGTACTTAACCGTTAATTTTTACACAGTACCTAGATCTATAGTCTAGAAGTATTTTCCATAGAAAATTATTTTCGTATTTTAATGAGAAAATCGAATATTAGAGGAAAACGAAAAGCGGTGAAAACAGAAAACGTGGAAACGTATATATTATGTTGGTTCTTATTAAATTTTTAAACCCATGCCGTTTGTATCCTATTTCATATGGTAGCAGACGACGACACAATTAGATGAGTACCTACTTCAGTGGAGTCTGTAAAAACTCACACCGCACCTAGTAGGTATATTCAGATCCTCCTTGGCTCTGAGGTATATCCCCCAAAAATGGAGAGAGTTAAAAGTAGTATTGATACTTGAACCTGGAAGAATGGATTATACTGTTCCAAAAACATACCAACCAATTAGCCTGACATCGTTTTCCATGACAACATTGGAAAGACTATGCGAAAGGAACATAAGGGATGTGGTGATTACAACATCACTACACCAAAATCAATATACATACACCAGACGCAGATCTACCGATTCAGCCCTTCACCTAGTTCCTGGCCTAATGGAGAAATCCCTGGACAAAAGAGTCCGCATTGGGTGTTTTCATAGACGCTTGTGACAAGACAACGTTTCCCAAGATAATATATCTACTGAACAACAGGAATGTTCAGATGATTAGAGGGTGGATACACAACATGCTCTCAAAGCGAACAGTAAACATAATTGTAGAAGATGTGAATATCTTGGATGCGATAATAAAGATTATTGGAATTTACGAAACAATACATAGGTATATTTGCTTTCAACGACCACGTTACAATGCAAGCAATTGTGGGCGGTGATAGCACAATATTTTTCAGAACATTTCTAATAGTACACATATTTAAAAACAATTAATCATATCTTTAATAAATTCTCAATGAAATACCTACATATATACGAAAAATACAAGTATCACAAATTAAAAACAATAATTTGTTATTGATCCTTTATGTGCAGAACAAGTCAACATTATTTGAATACAAAAATAAATATACAAACATACAAACATAATATCATCAGAGTATTAGTTACTCCATTTTTACTGTACCGATCATTGAAACATTACTATTTTAGTGTAGTGTAGAGGTAAATAACTGGGAAATATTTGTACCCTAGTACTCATTGTGTCCCAAATAGTACACGTAGTACATAAAAAGTACAGAAATTAAAATTAGGTTGATGAGCTAAAATAAAAGGTGTCACATATGTCTCGGATAATAAAATTAAGTTGATTACCGAAAAGCAAAAAGGTCGTTTGCGCGTATTTCTCATGAAACATTTTTTTCTCCGGGTCAGCATCGCTGGATTGTTGACAATCCTTCACAATTAGTACCAAATAGTATACATAATACAGTTTGCTCATTATTGATTCTCCGTCCAACTGCATAAATTTAAATATACCAAGATTTCATTTGTAAACTTTAATTTATTAGCCCATCGTCTTATAGAAGACAAACCAGGAAGTGGAAAATATAATTGCTGTTTTACATACAGATATGCCTTTTTGCTGTAATATCGCAAGGTAAAAGCAGATGCAGCTTCTTCAAATGTCCAGTCAACACGTTTCTTTGTCGTTTTCTTTTTAATTATCAATAAGCCCATTTGGTCATTTGGTTTTTAGTAAAAACATTTTTCTTGACCTTCAGTCTCCGATATTTGCTTTTATTAGAATTTAATTGCTTAACTTCTGTAAACATATTGGACTTTTCTTTTTGTATAATAATTTTAAAATCATCTTTAAGCTTTACTACATTTTTACTCTCGGTTAACACTTTTAACCACACTGTTTTCGCTTTTAATTGTGCTGCTTTCGATAATCTCTAAATGTGTGGAAATATTAGTATATCCTTTTTATGATTCGACTTTCCCGTTAGTGCTTTTTTTAAAGTTTTATCTTCACTTTCAATATTCCCAAGAATTAAAGTAGGGACTGCAGTTTTCTTTAATAGCCTCCTCACTGTCAAACTCAATTACCCAATAATTTATTGTGAAGATCTCTTTCATAATCATAAACTGTGATCGGATGGTCAGTTAAGAGCCACGTGGAAGAATAGCTGACTGATGGTGGCTGACAAGCTCTCGCTATCAATCACAATTCATGCTATTATACTAGTTGCTAACCGCAATAATTGTTTTTATGTAATAAAAATATCTTGAAAAATTGTTGGTGTTGTTGTGCCCAGTTCAAAGAAGATCCTATTTAGAACCCACCCAGGTACCTTTCTACAAATTACGATATCAAGGAGTCCCTGTACAAAGGATTAAAATACTACATTTTCGTTGACATCAGAAATATCAAAGACAACTGACGTGTGTCAATATGGTGACAGGCTAACAGTGGTGAAAATATTTTAAAATAAAATGTTGAAATGAACCCACTGGAGAAAATTTCCATGGTGTTGGTGGGGAATTTTAGATAAGTGCCGTCTTTACACAGAGCAAAACTGATTCATGTCTATAGATAAGAGGTAGGTATAAGAAAAAGAAAGCTCAAACTTGGTTTGAATACTTGCTTATTATTCTTGACAAAACTGATGCTCATATATTTCTCGAAGAGCTGAGAAAAAAAGTTAAGATTATAACAAAGCCAGCTTTGTATTTCTAGGTTTATAGTTGAATTTCAGAAAAAATGGATCCATTAAAATCATTCACGCAGCCTGTGAAAAAAAAGTTTTAGTAAGATTTGACATGAGGAATTGAAAATCTATGAACACTAATCCTGAAAAATGTATCAATTCTGTGCAAGAAACCAACGAAACTTTTCAATAAACTAACATATCTGATGGTCTGAGAATCCAACCAGAGAAAATATTGTCTAAGTAAATTGTAAATTGCGATATGTAAAAGGAACAGTATACTCTGATATTATTTATAGAAACGGTGAAAATTAAACTTTGGAGTGAGTGAGTGAGATAATTGCGTCTCGACGTTAAATAAGAACAGAAGTCTGTCGAACGAAGATAGGCGTTGCAATTTCCAACCACAGAAGCAGAAATAGTTGCAGCTAGTGAGACTGCTCTTGAAACTTTTTGACTAATAAGAATTTAAAAAGAAATCACCGACGTGCCGAAGATATCTAAGTTATACAGTGTGTGCCATAAAGTTCGATCCATATGGGAATTGTTTTTAGTATTACGATTGGAAAATGCCGTAGGGCAATCACCTGTGCTTATTTCAAAACTTGAAATAGTCCATATCAAAGTTTGCTACTGACATTAGTTATCTGTCAAATTCACAATCTTTTTGAAAAATAATTTAAAGATGGTATATTTTTTTAAATTCGAATGTAACAAATGACTAATATTAGTGGCCAACTTTGATATGGACTATTTTAGGTTTTTAAATAAGCAGAGGTGAATGCCCTGCGACTTATTTTCCAATCGTAATATTAATAAAATCCCATATGCACCCAACTGTATGGCACACACTGTATATTGACAATGAGTCTATCATCAAATTAGCTCACATCAACAACGTTATAGAACTAAAATGGTTTTTGCTTACTTTTTCATTATCAAGACCTAAACGAGTGTTATTTTGTTAATGTTAATTTTTGCAAAAAATCGGAAAACATTTAATATTTCTGAAACAGTTAGGTATAGGACATAGTGCATAAAATACGCTAGAATTTTCTAAAGAATCCAAAAATTGAGTGTTACATTTAAAATAAGAAAGTTGGTATTGGCCACTGTTACATGACATACCCTGTATAAAAAGATTTTTTTTAAAAATGCGCTACTAAATATACCAATCGACGTGTCCGAGCGTTTTTAAGTAACATTTTTTTGGAAATCTAGAAGTTAGGAAAATTACTTCAGAATTTCATTTGGCTGACTTGCTAACGAAAGCCCTCCACAAACCAAGACTTACTGCTCTATGTCAATAGAAGGGGTTATCACTGTCACAATGACTTAAAGTAATTCACAAGTTTGAAAAGAGAGAAGATGTTAAGGTGCAGAAAGAGCTTTACTTCACTGTGGTTGCTTTGATGATTATACATTTTGGTTTTAATTAAATTTTTAAATCTGCGCCATTTCTATCTCACTTCAGCAGTTTGCAAAGAAGAAGAACTTTGACTTTAAAACTTTAAAAAGAAACTAAACTGCATATACACACATCGCCAAAATTCTTGAACCCCCTTATGTTTTTCAAAATGAGACACTATTATTGTAAGTCAAGAAGTATATTTACATAGTACATTTAATTTGGTTATGTATCCAATGCAAATTGGCTGAATTAAATTTTAACTAAACAAGAAAAAAAATACAAACGAAAAATAGTGCATAATAAAATGATAACCAGGATTTGAAATCTAGAAGAAAATCTCTTTAGAGCGAAATCAAAGATGCACTAATATTCGATGTGGTCTCCTTGGTTCTGTAGTAAGGTGTTAACTCGCCTGTGCATGGAAGCAATAAGGGCGTTAATGGTATCCATTGGGACGTTGTTTCATTCTTCTTGGATCGCGACTGTGAGTTCCTGGAGGGTGATAGCAGGATTAATTCTGTTTGAGATTGCTTGTCCAACGAAATCCCACATGTGCTTAATGGGATTCATGTCTGGCGAATTTGCTAGTCACGGTAATCTTTGAATATGCTGAATCTCTAGTGCATTTTGTACTCTTCTCTTGCGATGAAGCATAGCACTGTCATCCATGAAAATGAAATTGGCTCCAATTTCATTTCGGAGAAGATAAATAATGGGTTCAAAAATATTTCGAACATATCTATCTCCTGCCACAATGTCTGGAATGGGAATAAGCTGGGTACGAC